CTGTATCATCTAAAAATAACAAGATTATTAGTATGTTAACATGGAAAGATACTTTAAAACAGTGATGTGTAAGCCAAATATATATGGTATGGTGATGCGCCAAATAAATCTGGCCTTGCAATTACTCCTTTAAAAACTTTTTCCTCAGGAAAATATAACAATGTGTGCAAAGATTCCTACTAGGATGAGTACTGCAAAGTTATTTGAAATAGTGAGCAAATGAAAGCAACCTGTACATACAATCATGGTATTTTGGGAAACATTAGAAAGCTGCTGAAATTGTTATAGAAAAATTTGATATGTGAACATATTAATATAATATATACCAAGGTGAAAAATGTGTTTGTTTCTAAGCTCTCTACAATGAATTTTTAAAATTTAAAAGTTATTAAGCATTCAATTGATATTGAACTCCATCAAAATCTAGTGTATCCTCAATACACCATTTCCACTAAAAAATTGGGTATAAAAAGCCTTCCTGGAACAATTTAGGCAATGAAATGCAGCTTGTAATAATAGTAATATTTAAAATAAAGATTTGGTCAACACTTTTTTTTACAAATTAAGTTTTTTTTGTGTCAGTGTTTGAGAAAAGAATGAAATTATCTGGAGGAGCCTTGTATGCTATCAAAAACTATTAGAGATTTTTCTCAATCAAAGTTACAAATGCAGCCATTCAAAATACTGCTTTCTTTTAGTGGTTTCAGATTTTATTTGATGGGCAGCTTTTGGAATACTCTCCAATTCACTGAAAAAATCCCACAACAATGATCAGTTCATTCATTTTAACTTTAATTTGTTGTCTTCTTTATGTTCCATGGAACTATTATGGTAGACAGAAGCAGTGTCCTTATGGAACATGTCCGTTATGTTTATATATTTGAGTATTAACAGAATGAGTGGGTGTAGTCAGCAAGACTGAAATATAAATATTAGTAAGTATTTTAGTAAATATAAATGCTAATTAATGTTTGAATATGTAAATTAAACATGTGGTAAATATATGAGACAGAGAACATAAATAAAAAGAGTGATATGAATTTAAGATAAACATATTTAAAAAATATATAATTACAGTAAACAATGAATAAATGATAATACATTTTAATGTTTACATCATGTAAGAATGTGAACTCTGTAGATGAAAGAACAATGCTGTAAATCCGATTTGCTGTAACACATCAGGTGAATAAAAAATGCTGCTATAAATTAAAACCTATAATAAGATCATGACCAAATTGCCCATATATCTTTACTATGATGACTATATGTTTATACACCTGCTATGTGTTGAGTTGTGGGTTTTATACACACACAAACTTACATTTGTGCACACACACACACATACATACTTCTTGTGAAAACTGTTGGGTCTGTGTGATTTGGTCCAGCAAAGTGAGGCTTAGATTAATGGGATAAACCAAAATCCTACAGCAGGTAGAAGAGTTGCTACAGAAACCATTTAGTTACATTGCAGATTTATGTTATTTTTGATGTGCTGAGAATAGAGAAGGCACTCAATAGGTATTTGTGAAAAGTATAAATAAATGATTGCTAGTTTTAGTTTGTTCCTATTTGCCTTATGGGATTATATTTATTTCCTTCAGGTCCTGGGGAACCTGAGGAACAAATGTATTAATGGGTAAAACTCTTTGAACCTGACTGCTATGTATATCATTTCTCATGTCTCCATCTGGCCCTAGGAAACTAAAATATTAATTATAAGTATCCCTTATTTATATGTTTTTGGTTCCTAAAGACAGACTAACGACTCTTTCTTGTGAATCATGATTTGGATGATTAATACAGTTCTCATACCTTCCTCCAAAGTTGCAAAAAAATTACTCAGAAATGGCAATTTCTTCCAGAAATAATTTCAAATATTTAAATAAAAGTAACCCCAAGATTGTATACATATTGTAAGTACTTGAGTGACATGAAAAGCAGTTGACAAACTATTGATGGTTTCATTTTTAATTTTCAGGAAAAAAAATCTTAATAATTGAAAAATTAATAACTCAGTGACTATCAACAAAGCCAATCAACTTTTTGAAAGCTATAACATTTCCTCAACTTGGCTGAAAGATAATTTTGAGAATGTCAGATGAGGATACTTATCCAGCAAATATGGCATGAAAGACATTAAAAAATTCTTCTTTCTACTTGACTCAAGATCTGAAGTACTGGCAATTAACAGATTGATTCAGAAAGAACTTTGACCCTGAGAACTATTGCTGCACAAGCATCATCACTTGTCTGTGTTGGGCACGTCATTTGCTACTGTGAGGTATACATATAGGGTACTGAACAGAGGCACACCAGTCTGTAATAAATGAAGTTGATTGGTTTTGCTGTTAGATGTGAGAGAACATAATTGCTCATAGTATTGTTAGCTTTATTAGTTTTCTCCTGGAATACATGGACAATATTCTCTTAAGCTGTTCCGCAAGGGTACTTAAAATCAAAACCTCTGAATTATTGCCTAATTGTTAGTATTTTTTAGATTGTGGTTTTATTCTGGGATAGGTTTGTGATAAAACACTTGTTTGTCCTATGCAGGGAGATTAATGGAGGGTGGAAAAGGTCATTTTTGCTATTTTCAAGCATTAACAACTTGTTGAAGTAAGAGTTCACTGATTTTAAAACTCACATATTATAAAAGGATACAGCATTTAATGAATATATTCTTCTCTATAGGGAGTCATTTTGTTGTCATATTATATATAGCAGAAAGGTCAAATGATAGATTTGAGTAAGTATTGCAAATCCCAGTGATTTGTGAAGGGGATATCTATAAAACACAGTCCGCCAGACCTTGGTAAGATTTATTTTAGTTGCTTTGAGAAAACAATGATCAAAATCTGTGTTTAAAATAGCTTTAATATTTTTGTTCTGTAACTAGAAAATTAATAAGCAATGTTTGCAAAAGAACTTTGAGCTGTGATTTTTTGTGATTGTGATTACAGTTTAAATCACAGGTTAGAGTAAAAAAAATCTAGGTTAGAGATGAACAAATAAATATCATGTTTTAAAATGGGATTATAAAAGCAGCAATTCTTGAAAAAGCCTCTCCCCAGTTCCCATTAAAAGGTGGATGAAGATGCAAATCAAAATGAGAACTTAGAAGAACTCTGTAAATATACAAAGAATATAGAAGGAACTTCCTGTAACCTGAAGAAAGGTGGGCTACCTTGTAACTTTACTCAAAACAGATTCATGTTCAAAGAAAACCAGTGGGAAACACAATAAAAGAATCACATTTCAACTTAAATATTTACTGCTGCTCTATAAGAAGTGCCAAAACCAAAGTGTAATTCATGACTCACAGCACAATGACCTAAATCACCTTTATTCACCTGAATGTCTCTGAATCCTCACAGTAGCTCTAGTTCACGGGTCTCTTCTATGCACCTTTCATCCTCCTAACACCTGCAGCCCACTCAGTGTGTGCAAACCTATGCTCTTGCTTTTACCTTCCAGATATAGACTATCTGACTACCTTTATGTTAAGGGATGATTCAGGGCCTTTCGACTGTAAATCTATCTTTATTTAAAAAACTTGTTCCACAAACCCTGTCCTCAGATTTGATAATTTGCTAGAAAAACTCACAGAACTCAGGAAAGCATTTTGTTTGCTTTTACCTCTTTATTAAAAGAATACAACTCAACCAAATGGAGAGATGCATAGGCCAAGGTATGCTTATTTTTTATAAATTGTGAAGATTTGTCCAATTTCCCTATTTTTAATATATTCTGAAGATTTGTCCAATTTTTCATATTTCCCTTAAACTACAAATTGGCTTAAATGATATTTTTAAATTTTCAGATTTAAGTGTGCATTTTTGTACTTATTACCTTTTAGTTTCCTTGACATGGCATTATAATATTATTTATTTCATTATTGGAGGTTTATATTGCCAAAATTACTGTCTTTGTACTTGGCCATCTGATCCAGAGTAAGTTTTCCTTATTTTTCCTGTTATTCGGATTCAGAGTACAATATAGAACGCAAGCTCTAATGCATTGTCTATATTGCCTGGGTCTTCTAAATCACTTCCATGTTATTTTTTCTATTTCATTTTTCTTAGACTCTGTGTTGAAGACTAAGACTTTGGTTTATAGCTACCAAACAATCTATATGGATATAAATGAACTAAATATCATGATCAAGCAATTTGATCTAATTTTTATTTACTGTAAACTACTACAGAAATAGTAGGGATATTTCCGTATCTTTTTGTGATGCTACCATAATCTTTATTCTAAAACATGACAATACCACATAATAAAATTCCAGACCAATTTCTCTCAAATATTAAAAAATACTGGAAAATCAAACCCCATAATATATATAAGGGATAATACATCATAACTAAGTGGACTTCATTGTTGAGTAAAACTGGGTAACCACTGAATGTTCATCAACATTAAAATAAGAAAAATCATATCATTATATAGATAAATTAAGAAAAAATCATTAAAAAATTCAGTACCCTTTCTTGACTAAAAAGTATCATTAAGCCAGGAATATGTGAGTACTTTATTATATGAAAAAGAATAAGTACTGAAAAAGCATTCTGTGTGAAATATTGTCTTTCCCACCCCCTAGATAAGAAAAAATAGAGTTGTTAATTATTTTTCTATTTCAACAATGCACTTATTGAAGTACTTTCTTCTACTTTTTATAGAAGACATTACTTTCTAGAATAGTCAAAAGAATCTACAAACTAAATAATGCACAGATTTAACAAGTCTACTTTATACATGTTCACTAAAAGAAATCAGTTGTATTTTCTATATATATTAGCAACAAAAATTTGTACAATATGTCTTTCTAAAATATGCCATTAGTATTGTAACAATGATCAAATACCCGGATGAAATCTAATGGAAGATGTGCAATATTTCATGGAATGGAAGATTCAATTTTGGGAAAATGTCCATTGTACCCAAAAGACTTGTAAATTCATCTTGTTCTCAACTACAATCCAAGTAAGTGTTTTTTTTTTAAATTTTTTTTTAGGTATTGACATGATACTAAAATTATTATATTAAAGGAATAGAAAGGTTCAAGATTAACAAGCATGGCCTTGAAGAATAAATATGAAAAATATACATTCCAAAAACCAAGACCTATCATAAAGTAGATGAATTAATACAGTGCAGTGCAGAATAGATGTTGCTATGTAACTGTATTCACCTACCATTTGTAATTCAAATTTAAATGTAACATCTTAGCAGAAAACAAGATAACATTGTTATGACCTTGGAGTTGGAGAAGACTTCTTGAAATGTAAAAAGTATTAACCATTAAAGAGAAAAAAATAAACATGTAGATTAACATATCATGGAAAAGGGATTAAGACATTGAAAAGGTAATCATCACAGAAAAAGATGTTTTCAGTATATGCAAGCCACAAGGGACTCTAGAATACATAAAGAACCCTTACAAATAAATAAGGATAAAATGGACAATCCAGTGGAAAGATGGGCAAAACTTGAAGATCACAAAGCAGAATATGCGAATTGTCAGCACATTGTTAATTTGATTGTTTGTTTGTTATCAGAGAAATATACATTATAATCATAACGGGACATCACTACACACCCACCAGATTGGCTAAGATGTAAAAAATACTGAAAAAATACCAAGAAGATGATGCAGCCAGAACAAAAAACATGGATGAGATGTGCGGGACACTGTGTGGAAAGCAGCAGTGAATGTACACAGATCAGTGACAGGTCAATTCCACTGTTCTGCACATGCTCAACAGAAATGCATACATATGTCCACATGGAGAACATGAGCAGGAATGTTCATAGCAGCATTCTTTGTAATAGAGAGGAAAACAATTTAAAGCACCCAATACCTTAAAAAGAGCCATACTCATTAGCCCCATTTTAAAAGAATCCAGCCCAAACCTATTATTAGAAATGTGGGCAACAATTCATGGAATTATTCATTAAAATAAAACCTGGACTAAAAATACTGAGTAAAAGATGACCACAATTAAGATTTATTCTTAAAATAGAACATTATACAGTTATTAAAAAGTCATGTTCATAAAGATGATTTAGTGTCAAAGGTTAATCTGAAACCCCTTGAAGTGGACTTTCAGGATACACATCAAACTTTTACAAAAAATAAAGATAAGATGGACAATCTAATAGGAAGATGGACAAATTATTTTCATAATAGTATTAACATATTTTCCTTTCCACTCCCATTCTGTCAGTGAAGAGAGTACAAAATTTGTTGAAACCACTGTTGAGTTTGGGTTACTTATCACAATTATCTCAAAAAGAAAAATGAAATACTCCTCACTTTTCCAGAAACTTATCTGTGTAAGACCAGATTATATTTCATATGTACATTAATCAAAGCAACATATTGCAATCTAATGAATGCAGAAGCAGATATGAGAATCCAGCTGTCTTCTTTTAAGTCGGACAATAAAGAAATTTGCAAAAATTTTAAAAAATAGTTCTCTTTTCATTAATGTTTTGTTTTGAGAAATATAGTTAGGTAATAGAAAACGTTTTTTGTTAACATAATGGATTTTTTGTTATTTTTCAAATGACTAAATATTTAAAAATTTTCTCAGTTTTAAATTCAGATATGGTAAGGTCAATTAATGTACCTTACTTTAACCAAACTTCTTGGTAGGCTTAATAAATTTCAATAACATTGTTTCAGAGATCAAATGATTAAGAACTCCTGACATAGGTCGGAACAACATGATAAATTAAGTAAAAGCACAAAGGAAATGTAAATGACTTTCCAGGCTTTGAGACTTCTGCTGGGAATTTAACTTCTCTGTGACTGTTTTCTTACCTTTTAAGTGTGGAAAATCATCATGTCTATCTTGTTGGCTTATTATGATGATGCCATGAAGTAACATATTTGACCTTGGCATATAATAAGCCCTCATTTTGCATCTTTAATAATAATTCATTACTTTAAGATTAGAAAATATTTAACATTCATTTTGCTTTATTATTTGTTAAAATAGGGATCATAGAAATACAGAGACAGAGGAAGAGGGAAGAGAAAGAAAGAATGAGAGAAGAGAAAGAGAGATTGTATTTGCCACAACTAAGAAGTTACTCTTGATTTCTAATCTTAAAATCACTACCAGGAATATTTATTTCATTTTGAATTGTTTGCCTTCAGTGAAACATTTCGGTATCCTTAGAGGGAAGTAGGGTGACTCTGTAACATGGAAATCCAAAATAGATTTTCATTATCTAGAACTCCAGATCCAGTGACTACATTCAACCTCCCCTACCACATTACTGATGAAAATGCCGTAGTCAACTTGCTGTGGTTATTATGCCATAAAATGCCGTAATGTGGTAAAATGCCATAAAACAGAGGAACTTCAATACCGGCAGCAATCAAAGCAACAACATTGTAACTGAATATTATACATTTACCCTGATTTGAAGGGAACTTTGCTCATTAATATTCTGACTGAATCCAAGAGTATCCTTTTCAGGTTTAAGTAGGAAATTAATCAGGCATCTGATTTTCATTTTACTTGGTGATAGTCTCTAAAATTCTGAAACCATTAGTTTCTCTTTCTATTTTTAAAAATTTCTTCTATACTAGAGGGTTGCACCAGGTAATTCTTTAATATTCCTTGTTCTCCAGATCTATGATTCTTCTGTTCTATGTCCCCTGAAATGAAAACGGATTTTTTAAAATCAAACCCTTTCGACATCATAGCTTTCACAATCTCATCCACTCAGCCAACATTCCTTGTCAATTATCCAATGGCTGCTAAGATGTCATGTACAATTTTTCATTTAATTTTGAAACTGCCATTGAACATATTTTATAATTATAATAAAGCAAAAACATTATTAAAATTGAGCTGAAACTGTGTTTCCTTTGGTATGCTCTGTGTAATAGTCTTTGAAAACAGGGTGACTCAAGAGCATGCTCAAAGATGGTTTGTCCCATAAGCATCCTGGAGAGAGAGAGACAAATATCCATTTACAAAAATAAAATAAAATAAAAGGAGAGACATTGAGAGAGAGAGAGAGGCAATAAAAGTGTCATGGAAGGGGATCCCAATAAATAATTCAAATATATTCTGTTGATATACTTCTGTGCAATGGAAATTGGTTTTGAGGGTGTGCGTTCCTTTGGTAAGGAATAAAATGAGCTTTGAATTATCATTTTTTATTACTAACTTGGTGGCTTATGTTAGTATAGAACTTACAAGTTATGACAAATTACTTTCTTGCTTTGAAATTCACAGCAGCTCTGTGAAGGTCTTTGGACAGGAGCTATCTGCACATGAGGGAACAGGCAGCAAATTCAGTTAAATTGCCCTAATTCGTCTACATGTTAAATTGAACCAAGTCTTTTTTCTATGAGTATTGTTTCTTTCCACCTCATTAGGATTTCTCTCTGTCTTGATGGGGGCGAAAAATAAAGGAAAGAAGCCATTATCTATCTACAAGCTTGCCTGGATGTTCAGGAAGGTATACTTTTGTAACTGAGTGTCCACATTATTCATATCTGCTCAAATATACACTTCATCAATACTGGCATTACAGGAAAGGTAGAAATAGTTTTATGGTTCTCTAATAAAATATTGAGTTTGTTTATGAAGTTTTCCTGGAAAATGCCAGTGCATAAATTGGGTAAAATGTATATGAATGTCATAGTTTTAAGCTTTTAGCAATAACTTAATTTGCAAATCTTCAAATGACACATATTTTATATAGATAGGTAGGTAGATATTGGTAGATGATTGATAGAGACAGATGAAATAATTTCACAGAATTTTGCACATTTGTTTACATGTGTAGAATATGTGGTTTTTATGTGTGTTTGTGATGCCATAACAATATTTCTTGATTTCTACTATTTTTATTAATTCATACCACAGCTTGCTTCATTAGGGGTTTACTAAAGCTTACATAAATACATACGATGCAAATATACATAATAAAATTTGAATCAGACGGATTGGAAGAGCAGGAAAACAAGACAAAGAACTGCAGGAATAGGAAAACTAAGTTAAATCCCCAGGAGGGTGCGCTGCTCAAAGCCTGTGCCTTGCTCTGTTCCTAGAACTGCCCCCGCTGCTCCAAGCTTCCCAGGGGAGGGCTGGGAAATTGGCTGCCGATTTTTAGAGTCTATCACAAGTGAAATGAAGATCAGATGTCTGATAATTGAGCCCCTTGGGTAAAACCTCATGGGTGGTCAGGAGAAGGGAGTTCTATTTGGAGACGGGCAAAGCCCAGAGGCGCCATCACCTCTGGGTGTTCACACCGCCTTCCGACCCCAGCAGGCTTGGGGCACCCAGAATCGACCCTTCAAATATCATTTCCAATTTCTATTCCTAAAGACTCCTCTGCTTTTCTAGTTCATGTCAGCTTGTGCGGCCATGAGTGGAGAAAGTGAGAAAGATAAACAAATAAACAATAACAGCAGTGGCATCAAGAACAAATTAGCATCTGGTCAGCCTTGCTGTGTCTGAGCTTGCAGTCATTAATTTTTCTGTCACTCTTTTATATTCAAAAGCCAAGGGAATGCCAGGCTGTAGAGCTTGCTCCCCATCTGCTGCGGCTTCTGCCTGTCGTGTACAATAGCTTATCTCTGGTGGGTGTGAGACACCGAGGGCTCCTGGTGCTGAGCGAGGGTAGGAGAGGGACAAGGGGGTAGCCGTCCCCCAAGCCACACCTGCCTCCAGCCACCCTTTGTGTGTGCCGAGCCAAACACTCTGTAAGCAAGAAAGGATATTTCTTCCCTCTCAACTTGAACAATTTTATTCAACAATCACCACCAAAAACAGTATTTTCATTTTAAAAGCATTAATAACCTGGAATTACCTGAAATAACCATGGTAACCTGTTCTGAAGTACCAT